AACATAAAATTTACAATGGCAGGCATCCGATAAAAAAATTATTAGAAGTACAAAGATGTAGGAAAATATGACCTCTAATCAGGAGGGAAAAATCAAGAACAGAAACACATCTGAAAAATAAATATATAACGGAACCAGTAGAAAAGAAGCATTAAAACGGATATTATAAAAAATAATCCATATAATGAAGATGATATATGAAAACATAAGCACAATAAGGAAATAAATGAAAGATCACAAAAAAATGTAAAAAGTAATACAAAATTCATATGGACATAAAAAGGCAATATCTGAACTGAAAATACACTGGAATAACTGAATAACCGATTAGATACTACAAAAGAAAAGTTCAAATAATTTGAAGACTTAGCAATAGAAACTATCAGAAATGAAGCACATAAAGAAAAAAAAATGAAAAATTAAAAAGTGTATCAGTAACCTATGGGACAATGTGAAGTGGTGTAAAACATATGTACACTCCTCACTTATTCACGTAGGTAGGTTCCAAACACTAGGTCATTATGGGAAAATCAGTGTTAGGTGAAAGTGGTGGATGACTAATCAGATCACAAATGCTGGATGACTATATCATTATATAATTGCCAAGTACATCATGACATAACTGTCAAATTACATCAGTACTTAAACGCCAATTGTTCTTGCTGTTGTTAGTTATCATCGAGTTGGTTCTGATTCACAGTGGCCCTATGACAACAGAACAAAAGACTATCCAGACCTGCACCATACTCACAATCTTTGCTATGTTTAAACCCATTGCTGCTGCCACTGTGTAAATCCACCTTGTTGAGATCTTCCTCTTTTTCACTGATGCTCTACTTTACCAAGCATGATGTCCTTCTCCAGGGACTGGTACCTCTTGATAACATATGCAAAGTACATGAGATGTGGTCTCACCATTCTTGCTTCTAAGAAGCATTCTGGTTGTCCATCTTCCAAGATAGATTTGTTTGTTCTTCTGGCAGTCCATGGTATATTCAGTATTCTTTGCCAGCACCTTGATTCAAAGGCATCAGTTCTTCTTTGGTCTTCCTATTCACTTTCCAGCTTTTATGCATATAAGGTGACCAAAAAGACCATGGCCTGGGTCAGGCACACCTTAACACTTACAAAGAGGTCTTTTTCAGCAATTATGCCAAATGCAATACATCATTTGATTCTTACCTGTTGCTTTCATGGTGTCGATTATGGATCCAAGTAAAATGAAATCCTTGACAACCTCAATCTTTTCTCTATTTATCATGAAGTTGCTTATTGACCCACTTGTGGGGAGCTTTTTTTTTTTTTTTTTTTAATGTAGAGGTGTAATCCATACTAAAGGCTGTTGTCTTCATCTTCTTTAGTAAGTTCCTCATGTCCTCTTCACTTTGAGCAAGCAAAGTTGTCAACTGTATTTTGTAGGTTGTTAATCAATCTTCATCCTATCTTGATACTGCTTTTCTTCACGTAGTCCAACTTAGATTATTTGCTCAGCAAATATATTGAGCAAATAGGGTGAAAGGATAGAACGCTGACACACACTCTTCCTGATTTTAAACCATGCACAATCCCCTTGTTCTGTTTGAACAACAGCCTCTTGATCTATGTACAGGTTCCTCAGCACAATTAAATGTTCTGGAGTTGCCATTCTTTGGAATGTTATCCATAATTTGTTATGATCCACACAAAGGCCTTTGCATAGTCAATAAAACACAGGTAAACATCTTTTTGGTATTCTCTGCTTTCAGCCAAGATCCAGGTCACATCAGCAATGATATCCTTTGTTCTCCACCCTCTTCTGAATTCAGCTTGAATTTCTGGCACTTTCTTGTTGATACAGCATTGCAACTGTTTTTGAATTAACTTCAGCAATATTTTAGTTGCGTGTGATATTAATGATATTGTTTGATAATTATGCATTCTGATGGATCACCTTTCTTGGGAATGGGCTCAAATATGCATCTCTTCTGCTGGTTGAGCAGGTAGTTGTCTTCCATATTTCTTGGTATAGATGTAATTTGGCATGTGACTACCAAATTACATCATTACATCTCCCACCCCCCCAAAAAAAGCAAAACCAAATTCACTGCCATTGAGTCAATATCTCTATGGAAATAGATTGCCTAATCTTCCTTCAGAGGAGTGGCTGGTGGGGTTGAACTGCCAGCCTTCTGGTTAGCAGTTAAATGCCTTAGGCACTATGCTACCAGAGTTCCCAATCATTTCGTAACTGGAAAATTATATCATTACATAACTGCCAAATTTCACCACTACATAAATGCCAAACCATTGAGCATCATGGCACAGCCGAGTTGACACATAACACACAAACCAGCATTACTCTTTCCTTGTGCCTTATCATTTGTTATTGCCAGATGTATGTCATTATTGTGTAAAATAGTCAGTTAGTAGATGGGAAATGTCAGTTAACAAGCTGGTTGAGAAGTTCAGAGTAGGTGTAACGGTAACTTTAGAAGCAGGAGAAAGACGAAACAATTATTAGTAGAAATAATGCCAGAAGTTTTTCAAATTTAATGGAATTTATAAACTTGATATCTAAGCTCAATTAATTCTAAGTAGGCTAACACTAAAGAAAATGATGAGAAGGCATATAATAAAAAAATTGCTAAAAACCAGAGATGACAATTCTAAGAATAGTTGAAGAAAAGGACACACAAGAGACTAAATAGAAATCTTTTTAATACTGAAAGAAAAGGGAATTTAAAAAAAAAAAAAAAAAAAACCTGTTACTTAATCTGGGAGCTCTGGTAGCATAGTGCCTAAAGAAGGCATCTGACTGCTAACCAGAAAGCTGGCGGTTCAAATCCACCAGCCACTCCTCGGGAGGAAGGTTAGGCAATCTACTTCCATAGAGACACAGCCTTGGAAACCCAAGGAGGGGTCACTATGAGTTGAAATCGACTCAACAGCAGTGAGTTTTGGTTTGGTTTTTTTGGTTACTTAATCTAGTGAAAATATCTTTCTAAAATGAAAACAAAATAAAGATGTTATTTAATTTAGAGAATTCAGGACCAGCAGAACTGTGCTACAATAAATGTTAAAGGAAGCTCCTTGGGCAAAATAAAAAATATATCAGATAGAAATTTGATTCTACACAAAGGAATTAAAAACATCGGGTATGGTAAATATGTGGATAAATATAAAATGCATTTTAATCACTTTCTGATCCATTTAAAAGATAATTGACTGTTTAAAGCAAAAATTATAATATATTATAGAGTTTATAGAGTATGTAGAAGTAATACATTTGACGATATTACAACGGAAGTAGATTGCCCAGTCTTCCTTCTGAGAAGTGGCTGGTGGGTTTGAACTGCCAGCCTTCTGGTTAGCAGTCAAATGCCATAGGCTCTAGGCTAGCAGAGCTTCTCATTACAAAGGGTAAGTGATATAAAAAGTAAAGTAGACTGTTGTAAGATACTCACACATAATATTTATAGTAAGGTATATTGTGTTAAGTAAAAAATATATATTGTAAATTCAATAATAGTAACTAAAATACAAAACAAAGGTATAGTCCCAGTCAGCTTTCTTATGATTAGTGTTGCATAGTATATTTTTCCATCCTTTTCTTTTAACCTATTTTGTAATTTTCTTGTATACAACTTATACTAGGGTCTTTCTTTTTTATTCAATCTGACAATCTGATTTTTAACAGGGCCATTTAGACCATTTATATTGAATGTAATTTTCAGTATGATTGGGTTTTAATCTACCATCTTGCTATTTGTTTTCAATTTTGCCATCTACACTTTATCCTATTTTTTTCTTTTAGTTCTTTTATATTCACTGAGCAGTTTTTATTACTTCATTTTATGTACTTTATGGCATATTGGTTATATTAATATCAAAACAGATTTTCAAGCAAAAAAATATTATAAGGGATAAAACAGTGAATTATATGCTATTTTTACCATAATTTAAAAAATATCAACCAAGAGAAACTAATAAGTAGTAAAAATAAACACCTGCAGCTGGTATGTTAAGAGACTCAAGTAATTTTACACTATTTTAATTTTTTTAGAATTTGAAAAAATTTTCCAGGGATTTTATAATTTTTTGTTTTCATTTCTCACTGACAGCACAGTGGACCATACACATTCTTCCTTCCTTCCTCCTTCCTTCTTAAGCAAATCCTAATTTTGTGCTCAGCCCCAAGTAGATATTCATGATGAACATCAACTATGCCAATCATGATGTTCTTTTTTTACTTTGCCAGATACAAATTTCACAATCTCTGTTACAGCAAGGTGACCATGTGACGTATTCTGGCCAATGAAACATAAAGGAAAGTTTGCTAGGGGACTCCTGAAAAGGTTTTTATACCCTTAATAAAGGAAAAGATGAGGATGGTCCATTTCTTGTCTGGTTTCCTGTGAGAGTCTCTTCTGAATATAAAATATACGAGGATGAAAAGTCCACGCTCTAAGGATGGCAGAGGAGAAGGATCAAAAGTGCCTAGGTCCATTATTGAGCAGCGAAGTCAATGCCACAAGAGATGAGAAAGAGAAAACATATTTCTTTAAACAATTCTGTTCAGGTTTTCTTTTTTGTGTAATAGAAAGCATTTCTGCCTGATAAATGCACACAACATGGTTCTTCAATTAAGAAGAGTTTGTAGACAAGATGTAAACATAATTTTAAAATATAAAAGAAAAAAGAAACCATTGGAAACTGCAGTCTTTTGAAGTCTTTGGATCAATCAGGTTTTCTTTGGTGTTTGTTAAATGTATATCTGCCTTATAGCTCCCTCTTGATTGCCAGCTTCTTTGTGGACAGGAGTCTCCTCTGCTCAAAGTATGGTCTAGGCAGTTTTGGGTGCTCCAATCAGCTTGCATATAGACCCCATTTCCATATAACCTTCAAATTATCTCTAGGTATTCTCTGACTCCACGAGGAACAAGAACCTCACATACCTAAAATATATTTTATAAAAGTGAATTTAGAAGACAAATAAGCAAAGTGATGGTTCACTGTCTTACGTTCACATTCTCTGACATCCAAGTTGAACTGCTGTAATGCTCCCAAGGTGAGTTGTCTTACTTCAGCTTCCAGCAAGAGTTGCATCAAGGATGTGGCTAAATGCTTACAAGCTGACATACATGCTGTCTGGGCCACCTTTCCCTGAAACACAAGAGTATAAATTAAAATATTAATAGGTTAAAATGAAATTCTAATAAAAATTAAAACACTTATTTTTCAATTAGGCATTTCTCTAAGGTTCTTTATTATTATACCCTGAATTAAAATAATATTGAAATTTATAGACCCAGATGGTAACCATCTTAAATACTAATTCAATCATTGTCAGTCATGGCAGCTATAACACTTATAAAAAGCTCAGATATTTAGTTAAGAAGTACCTTTTCCTAGAGAACATGCAAATAACATGAACAATAAATGAAAAGGGTGATATCACAACAGAACCAACTGAAATAAAAAAAATATTGACAGAATATTATGAAGAACTCTATGTACTCCACCAGATTCGAGAACCTAGAAGACATGGATAAGTTTCTAGAAATACAAGACCTACCTAAACTATCCCAGTCAGAGACAGAATAGTTCAACAGACCCATAACAAAAGAAGAAATCAAGCAGGTCATAAAAAAACTTCCTACAAGAAAAAGTCCTGGTCCTGATGGCTTCAGTGGAGAATTTTACCAAACATTCAGGGAAGAGTTGACACCTATACTACTCAAGCTATTTCAGAACACAGAAAAAGATAGACTATTTCCAAATTCATTTCATGAAGCAAGCATAACACTGATACCAATAAATGAGGGAATGTTGTTGTTGTTGTTTGCCGTCGAGTCAGCCCCGACTCATAGAGACCCCTCCTTGGGTTTCCGAGGCAGTATCACTACGGAAGTAGGATTGCCCAACCTTCCTTCCGAGGAGTGGCTGGGGGGTTTGAACCGCCAGCCTTCTGGTGAGCAGTCAAGTGCCTTAGGCACTATGCTACCACGAGGGAAAGACACCACTAAAAAGGAAAATTTCAGACCAATATCCCTCATTAATATGGACTCAAAAATCTTCAAAAAAATCCTAGCCAACAGAATCCAACAACATATCAAAAAAATAATACATCATGACCAAGTAGGATTCACAAGAGGTTTGCAAGGATGGTTCAACATCAGAAAAATGATCAATGTAATCCACCACATAAACAAAAGAAAAGAAAAGAATCATATGATTATATCAATTGACACAGAAAAGGCAAAAAAAAAAAAAAGATAAAACCCAACACCCATTCTTGATAAAAACTCTCAGCAAAATAGGAATAGAAGGGAAATTCCTCAAAATAATAAAGGGCATATATGCAAAGCCAACATTATTGTTAATGGAGAAAGACTCAAAGCATTTCCCTTGCAAACAGGAACCAGACAAAGATACACTCTACTACCACTTCTATTCAACACTGTATTGGAAATCCTAGCCAGGGCAATATGGCAAGAAAGATAAATAAAATGCATCCAAATTGGCAAAGAGGAAGTCAAGCTATCTCTATTTGTGGATGACATAGAAAACCTAAGAGACTCAGCAAAAAAATTACTGGAACGAATAGAAGCTCAGCAAAGTGGCAGGATACAAAGTCAACATATAAAAATCAATTGGATTCCTCTACATCAACAAAGAGACCTCTGAAAAGGAAATAAAGAAAACAATATCATTTATAATAGCTATTAAAAAGATAAAATACCTAGGAATAAATCTTTCCAGAGACACAAAAGACCTATACAAAGAAAACTACAAAATACTACTACAAGAAACTACAAGGGGTCTACACAAATGGAAGAATCTGCCTTGTTCATGGAAGATTGAGGACTGTGAAAATGTCAACATTACCCAAAGCAATCTATACATTCAACACAAACCCGATCCAGATACCATCAACATTTTTAAGAATATGGAAAAAAGAATTAATAACTTCATATGGAAAGGAAAGAGACTTCAGATAAGCAAAGCACTGCTGAAGAAGAAAAACAAAGTGGGAGGTCTCACACTCCTACAGTTTTAAGATCTAAAAACCCAGATCTACAGCCACAGTAATTAAAACAATGTGGCACTGGTACAAAGATAGACAGATAGACCAATGGAACAGAATCGAAAACCCAGATATAGACCCATCCATCTACAAACAGCTGACCTTTGACAAAGGACCAAAACCCTTTAAATGGGGAAGAGATAACCTCCTTAACAAATGGTGCAGGCAAAACTGGATATCCACCTGTAGAAAAATGAAACAAGACCCATACCTCACCCCATACACAAACACAAACTCAAGTTGGATCAAAGATTTAAATGTAAAACCCAAAACTATAGACTTCATCAAAGATAAAATAGGGGCAAATCTAGAGGCCTGGTTTATGGCAAAAATAGACTATCAAGAATAACCCAAAATGCACAAGTAATGGAAGAGAAGCTAGATGACTGGGACCTTTGAAAAATTAAATTCTTATGTACATCAAAATATTTCTCCAAAAGGGTGAAAAGAGAACCTACAGATTGGGGAAAAAAATATTTGGCTATGACATAACTGACAAAGGACTTATCTCCAAAATTTATAGACAACTTAAATACCTCAATGCCAAAAAGACAAACAAACCAATTCAAAAATGGGCAAGGGACATGAACAGACACTTCACTAAAGATGATATACTGGCAGCCAACAAATACATGAGGAAATCCTCACAATCATTAGTCATTATTAAAAAAAAAAAAAAAACTTCACTGCTGTCAAGTTGATTCTGACTCATAATGACCCCTCTTTGGGTTTTCAAGGTGGTATCTCTACAGAAGTAGATTGCTCAGTCTTCTATCCAAGGATTGGCTGGTGGGTTTGAACCGCTACTCCTCTGGTTAGCAGTCAAATACCTTAGGCAAATACTACTCCACCAGAGACATGTAAATCAAAAGAACAATGAGATATCATCTTATCCCAGCAATAATAGCAAAATTCAACAAGACAGAAAATAGCAAATGCTGGTGAGGTTGTGGAGAGACTGGAACTCTCATACACTGCTGGTGGGACTTCAAAATAGAATAACCATTGTGAAAATGGTATGGCGTTTCCTTAAAAAACTGAAAATAGAAATATCATTTGGTCCAGCAATTCCATTACTAGGAATATATCCTAAAGAGGTGAGAGACATATGCATATCCACTTTCATTGCAGCACAATTCACTATTGCAAAGAGATGGAAATGACCTAAATGCCCATCAACAGATGAATGGATAACCAAATTATGGTACACTCAACAATGGAATACTATGCTATATTAAAGAATAATGAAGAATACATGAATCATCTCACAATATGGATGAATCTGGAGGATATTATGCTGAGTGAAGTAAGTCAATTGCAGAAGGACAAATATTGCATGAGCCCATTATTGTAAAAAGTCAAGGAAGGGTTCACTTAGGAAGGGAACTCACTTTGTAGGTTACTGGGGATAGGAAGGAATGGAAGAGAAATTTTCAGACTAGCTGGGGGTCACATGTTGATTTGAGTAAGGGTAGAGATGGTATGGAAAGAGTCTGTGATCAAAATGAAGACACCGGGGAAAGGCAGGACACTGAAAAGTGCACATAAGATATAGATAACAGAGGCAAATACTAGTATATGCACAATACTGCATTACCACTAACACCAAACACCAGGCTACAGATAAATGCACAGACAACTGAGAAGATCAGGTGGGGGTTAGTGAACAGGAATGTACGCTAGGCCAAGGATAGATTTAGCTGAGGCTAATCTTACACAGGGAGCTCTGGTAGCGTAGTGCTTAAGGCACTTGACTGCTAACCAGAAGGCTGGCAGTTCAAACCTACCAGCCAATCCTCAGAAGGAAGATGGGGCAATCTACTTCCATAGGGATACTGCCTTGGAAACCCAAGGAGGGGTCGCTATGAGTCGGGTCCGACTCGACAGCACATAACAACACAACAACAACAATCTTACATAGATACTCCCACCCATTGCCGTCAAGTCATGTCTGACTCATAGAGACCCCTCCTTGGGTTGCCAAGGCAATATCACTACGGAAGTAGATTGTCCAACCTTCCTTCCGGGGAGTGGCAGGTGGGTTTGAACCCCAGCCTTCTGGTTAGCAGTCAGATGCCTTAGGCACTACGCCAATAGAGCTCCCACATAGATACTAGTGATACAAAATTAGCCACACTCATTATAGAAGCAACAGAAGTGAGTTGAAGTAATCTCTCAGAGACAACCAAACACCTTGGGAGAGAGAATTACCAGGCCTGCCAACACAAGACGATGGTACTGAGGGACACCAAGCTCAATTGGCACAACATAATATATAAAAACCCTATTCCAGAAGGTTCTGCTACTTCAGTGAGTAGCAACTGGGGTCTTAAAAGCTTTCAAGCAGCCTCATGAATAGGGAGATTGAACATAGTGAAAATGTCAATTCTACCCAAAGCACTTTATACATTCAATGCAATCCCAATCCAGATCCCATCAACATTCTTTAAGGATATAGAAAAGCCAATCACTAACTTTATATGGAAAGGAAAGAGATCTCAGATAAGCAAAGGACTATTGAAGAAGAAGAACGTAAGAGGTCTCTCACTGCTGGATCTCAAAACCTACTATACATCCATAGTAGTCAAAACTGCCTTGTAACGGTGAAATGACAGACACATAGACCAATGGAATAGAATTGGGAACCAAGAAACAGATCCATCGACCTATAGTCAGCTGATCTTTAACAAAGGGTCAAAATCCATTAAATGGGGAAAAGAATGTTTGTTTAATAAATGGTGCTGGCAAAACTGGAGATCCATTTGCAGAAAATGAAACAAGATCTGTACCTCACACCAAATACAAAAACTAACTCCAGATGGATCAAAGACTTAAATGTGAAACCTAAAAGTATAATGTTCCTCAAGGAAAAACTAGGGGAAAACTAAGGAGCCCTAATATATGGCACAAATACGACTATCAAGCATAACCTAAAATGCACAGACAACAGAACATAAATTAAATGAATGGGACCTTCTAAAAATTAAATTTTTATGTGCTTCCAAAGCCTTCTCCAAAAGAGCCAAAAGAGAACCTACAGATTGGAAAAAAAACATGTGGCAATGACAAGGTACTA